ATATGACCTTACATGTGGTCATGAAGTAATGTATAATAAAATAATACAGATGATATTTTCATGTGTTGTGCTCGCGTGGGGACCAATTATGACACTTGAAAGCTTCGATAGACGTCTGTCTTGTCGGTAGTATGCGTTCTCGAAAGATGACTTCTTTATTGTATCCGGGCCAGGCTGGAGATATTAAATTCTGCTCGGTTCGGATGTGGACGATCTTGACATTTGAGCACTCGGTCGATATTAAATGATCAGCTTGGAGAACTCGCTATTTGAATATTTATTTATCACATATTTTAACCCTCATTTATTTTTCCACGTGTCGTCTTTTTATTAATTGTAGCCAAATTGGGTATCACCACAACTCATGGAAAGTAAGGCAGTTGAATGTGAGAAATGCCTTTCTCATGGAAAGTTATAGAAAGAAATCTATATGAGGCAACTACTAGGCTATGAAATCCAAGAAAATGAAGGTTTAGCTTGTAAGTTGACCAAAGCATTGCATGGATTAAAACAAGCCTCGAAGGCCTGGTTTCAGAGGGTGCAACATGAGTTAACCAACCTTGGCCTTGTACATCAAAGGTAGATAATTCTCTTTTCTATATGAAGATAAATGAGGATACTATTTTCCTCTACGTCTATGTTGATGATATTATGATTACAGGGAACAACCAAGGTCTTATTTCATCAACAATTGAGAAACTCCAAGGGTGTTTCTCCCTAAAGGATCTTGGTAACCTCTATCACTTCCTTGGAATAAAAGTAACAAAGACTAATGAAGGTTTGTTTCTTAGTCAAAGCTGCTACATTAAACAACTTCTTGAGAGAGCTGGAATGAAGAAAAGTCAAAGGTCACCTACTCCTATGATAACTAGAACTAAGCTCTCTAAATCATAAGATGATCCTTTGGAGGATGCTAAACTCTACAGAAGTCTGGCGGAAGCCCTTCAATATGACACAATCACTAGAGCAGACCTGGCATTCAGTGTAAATAGAGTGTCTCAATTTATGGCAAATACTTTACACACTCATCTTAAGGCAGTGAGAACGATCCTCAAGTATCTTATAGACACAACCAATCATGGTTTGCACATCAAAAGATCACAAATGCTTTCATTACATGCCTTTTCAGATGTTGATTGGGGTAGGGGTATTGATGATAGGAGAGGAGTGACAGGCTTTTGTGTCTACCTAGGAGATAATCTCATCTCGTGGGCTTCAAATAAGCAAGGATGTGTCTCAAGGTCAACTAATGAAGCTGAATACAGAAGTTTGGCTCATTGCACCACAAAATTGGTTTGGCTGCAATCCCTTTTGAAGGGAATAGGAGTTGCGATTGAAGGAATTCCTGTTGTGTGGGTTTACAATCAAAGTTTTATCACATTGGCAAGCAACCTTGTGTTACATGCAAAACAAATCACGTGGAACTTGGCGTCCACTCCATCATAGAGAAGATCGCCCCAGGGATTGTTAAGCGTTCAACATGTGGCAATTATGAGCAATTGGCTGACATATTCACAAAGCATTAAGTCATCAATTCTTCTCCAAGCTCAGGAGTAGACTTACTATCACCTCTTTACCTAGGCTCGAATTGAGGGGGTGTGTTAAACCTTCTTGTCCTTCTCATGCCAACATGGACGTCCAAGGTGAGCATGAAAACAAAGGAGATGCAACACTTGTTGGATGCCTTATGCACCTGACACAAAGAGGGAGTTGTTGCAGCAGAGGTAATACAGTTGGAGTATACGATCAAAAGATCCACCATGCACGTGTAGGGCTTGGATTGATTGATGGTTTGAAAAGGATAAAAAAGCGATCACCAACAGCCATGCTTAGGGCAACTTGAGTGTCTATATTTATGTAAAAGGAATTGCAGCTATGTAACACATCACTTGATACATTTTGAATCAAACACATTGCAGCTTATGATCTCTTATGCTTGTTTAATGAAAACACCTTCAATTTGCTCGATTTTTAATTTTTTATCAAAAATGAATGCACATTTACGTGTGTTACACTGCATATTATTAGTAATTTCAATGCAATACAAAATATGCTAGAATGTTTAAACTATAATTAAATGATAAAATATTCACACTACGTTGTGATTTGTACAATTCTATGCTGATGCTACCTAAGGCAAGGTATCAAACACCCAAAAAATTTAGAGGATTTGTAATTTTCGCCTTTAACCACATGCAACCATGGTGGTTGATTTAATAAAAAAATAACTTGAACGATATTACAACGCTCGGAAGCAGCGAATTGCTTATGCGGATGATGGTGTTTTGAAATAAAATTAATGGTGTTCAATATGCCAAATTATTGGAGTAGCGGTTGTTGATTGTGGATGATGGTTTTTCTATCAGAAAAAATCGTATGGACGAAGCTCGATATACAATGCTCGCAAACAGCAAATTGCTCATGTTTGCAGATCTCGAACAAATTGCCCTACATCGTCAATTCATACTTCTCATCACAAGATTGTGAAAGAAATTTTGGGATTTTACTGTACATTGAACACCTTGGTTTTGCTTTGCACCTGAGATGTGCTCCAAAAATTATACCACTCTTTATTACCCAAAAAATGGCATACAAAAGTTACCGCGTAAAACCGCCACCAACAAATTTGAAGTTCATCCCTTCTTATCTATAAATAATAAAAAAAAAAATGTAAATAAAGGGAAACAAAAATTGAAATCTAACATACAAATACAAAATAAATGTATACACAAACCTATGTATATGCCGTCTATATATATATGTATAATCATGGCAGCTTGTTTTTATCCTCAGCAATGGAGTTTTTGCAGTGTGCGATGGCCGCTTGAATGGCCGCCTGCAATTCCTCCATTGTACTGTCGCTCCTGCCTTGACGATATCCCGTCGGCGTCACACTCCCGCTGGCCACCAGAAGCCCGCTGTTTGTCGGCGAGTTCCCAATCGACGGCGGCGCCGAGAATTCCCTCCGCCCCGTAAGCCCCCTGAGCCCTCCCCTAAATCTCAGGTTCTCGGAGAAGGAGTGGGTCTGCCGCCCAATCCTCCGCGATTCCGTCTCCCCACGAGACACCAACGGCTTTATCAGCCGGAAGTACTTGTGCAGGAAGCGGCTGAGGTCGAATTTCGATTTCCGATTTTGCCCCTGCCGCCGCTCGCACGATTTCCTCCATTTGGGCAGTCCGAAGAGGGAGAACGATTTCGACGATTTTCCGGCAATTCGGACTTCCGGAAGGCTCCTCTCGCCGATGCACGTGGCGGCGCGGCGGCGGTTGGGGTCCGATTGGGCGGCGGCGGCGGAGGAGGAGGGAAGGGTGAGGCTGGCGGTGGAGTTTGTGGACGAGCGGGGGGAGACGGGGAGGTGGGAGAGGAGGTGGAGGGGGAGGAGGTGGCCGTGGAAGAAGATGTCGTCCGCCGGGGATAGATCGACGGCGGCGTGCGGCGGCGGGGCGGCGGCGGGAGGTGGGTGTAGGGAGACGGTGAAGGAGAACTCGTGGGAAGGGGAGGACGAGGGCGGCGCCGGCGGAGGAGGTTTTTCGACTCGTTTTCCGGCGACGGCGTGGAGGTTTGCTTCGATTGCTCGTTTTTCCGTCTGCATTTGGAACGCCGGATTTTGATTTTTCAACTTGCCTCTAATGTTTATTATATATGAGTTTCTTTCTGACTTATTTTTATTTATTTATTATTTTTTTACTGAGGAGGAGGCAGAGGATTGTTTTGGTAGTGTGGAATTGATATTTATATATATTTGAGGTGGGGATTTTGATTGGTAGTTTTGGAGTTTTTGTAAATGCACACACCATCACATGTGTGAATAGGCAATGGTAATGTAAGAGACTATTACATTATATTATTCAGATGGATCTTACAGTTGCAATATCATTTAATGCTACAGGTAGTTTCAGTGACTAGGAATAATGGTAGTTTTCATTTTGTAGTGTGAATGGGGGTAAGAGATTTTTT